ACAGTCAAAGCTTCACAACAGCATGCAGACTCTATCAGAACTAGCTTGAAGACACAGTTGGTTGTTACTGCTCAGCAAAGCCATTGTAAATCTCATTTGCTCGCAGTTAAGCTGTTCCGACCTACTCTGTCTTTATTGACCTTTGATTTGGGAAATCTTAATTTTGTTGACCAAACTACGTTCAACAGACGACTGCTCACCGCAGTATTCATAAATGCGCGTTAAAATGTACCCTTGACTAGCATCCACGAACCAGCGTCAACTTGGGATTAACAACCAATAAGTAAACGGGAGTGGTCGAACGGCGTCAGATAAGAATTGCTGTGAACAATTCATCCCTGAGAATGGAGCTTAACTCGCTACTGTAGGCAAAGTTGCATAATTTGAAAGAAAAATCTAAGGCCGTCCAAAAAACACCTAGGAAGTCAGTCTCGAAGCATCAAGAACTTCACCTGAATAACAAACTGAAGGTGTAAAGGGCGGTTTTCCCTACAACATATCTATGAGGGATGGAGACCTGGAAAGTTTATGTAAAACAAGCCAGGAAGCAGAACACAAGGCAGGGCAGGATCCCGAACACAGAAGTAATGATACAGGCCGTAATACACAGCATGTACGTCATACTTAGATAACTGCAACTATGTTGGAGCAGCTAACTCATGAGGATGGATGATGGTGACATCGCTACGGATGCTGGCCGACGAGAAGGAGGACAAAATGACGCTATAAGGACACTCTACGGAACTCCCACAGGGACTTGTTAATCGATCTGGTCAGCTTGACGGATCTAAACCGAGATCGACCGGTGTGGAGAAAAGCAATGGAGACGAGAGCAGCAATCTTCGAAGCCAGCTGGATTTTCACTACCAAACACAAACAAAAACGGCTCGAAGGTTGCCAGATGCCTTCAACCAACAACACCACCTCCCAATGCATCCCCATCGTGTTTTCATTGTCAACTGATATTCCAGCTGCGAAAGAGATTTCTGGGACACCTTTGGAAACAATGCAAAAAGGCAGTTAAACGCATCCATCTGCTTCCACAAGCGCACACAACAATAACCGCCACTGATGAGAAAATTCCTGTCGTCACCGCCGCCGATGCCCAGCATCACAATCTGCCAAACACCTATATGCGAGAGCTCCTACTCCCTCGGGCACCTGCGGAAGTGTTATCATACGCGGATAATGTTACCTTCTTCTGCCGGTTCCATCACATCGATCAGGCTGCGCAGCTCCTCTCTGAGTTCATGCCTGATGTCGTAAACTTCTTCATCCACCACAGGATGACGATCTTGGCAGCCAAATCGTCCGTCACTGTTTTCACGCTGGACCCGAAGGAGTTCAATCGTCACCCGGCCATCTTCGTCAACGGTGCGTCCTTATCGCTCGTCCGTAAGCCCAAGCTTCTTGGCGTACATTTCGATCCGCTCTTCACATTCGTGTACCATGTCAGGGAGGTCGCAGGCAAAGTGGGCCACTGCACCTAGATCCTCTAGGCTTTACAAGGCACATCCTTGGGCTGTGCGAAAGAGACTTTGACGACCGCATTCAAAGCGCTGGCCAAGCCGCACCTCTCTTATGCGGCACCTATCTGGTCTCCTACGATCAGCTCTTCCAGCTTCCACCGCCTTCAGTCAGAATAGAACGCTGTCCTCCGCTCAATCAAGGGTTGCTGTAAAATGTAGCCTTCTGATCATCTTTATGCAGAGGCCTCTGTCCTGCTGGTTACCCCTCACAACGCACTCTTAGGCCAGCAATGTTGGTGGGCCTGTTCGTAACCCGACCATCAAAATCCCCACCGTTGCCACGCTCCTGAACCCAACCACAGCGTTTAACCATCTATTAAAGTTCTCCACAAAGAAGCTGTCGCCTCGTCTCTCTCGGACCTACCTGTTGATGGCACTGACATCATGACAGGCCTCCAGCATCTTCGTCAGAGGGCCGCTGTCGAAGAAAAATTAAGTAACCATCCCCCGGTCGTTTCAGGTGGCTATCCACCTCCGATTGCGGCCTTGAAACAACAAATCCAGAGGGTCACTCGCTTTACCTTGGCTCAACTACGCAGGTGCTAATTAACGCTCCGCCAGTACCAACACTACTTCGACCCGTCCCGATTGCGGCGTCTCTCTGCATTACTGTCAGCAACTTTTCGGCTGCAGTTCCCGGCTAGACACCCAAATCAGCCCCGCGGACCTTTGGCTCAAGCCGGTTGAGGTTTCGGCCTTTCTCTGTCTTTCAACTACAGCCAATTTGGAATCCGGCGGGGAGTATTGATTCAACAAGGGCTACGACACACACTCATATAACCACTACCGACGAGGACATCCCTGCCGCCGCCAATGCCTATCGTCGCAATATCCAGAAATGCGGGCTCGGTTCCAATATGTCTAAAATGAGATAAATCAGATAAAGATTGACGAACTACTACGAAGAGCGTAAACAGCTACCAATAATCGCCCTAATTATCCAAAATGTTCCAACACGTCCAGCCACTCCATGAGCTTACACGGCCATATGCATACCTGTGAAAACCGAAGGTAAAAACGGAGAGTCAAACTATATCACCGCACATGTCCTCATCGGCACACATAAATTCGTCCCACATCAACCGCAAAAGGCGGGTGTTCGGCCTCTCACATATAAATGGGGAGCGTCCTATTTGACTTGTTTTCCTGTGGCCTTGATGACACCAACTCCGGAGAAGTTCGAGTGGGCCACCTCCTTTGTATGAAAATAACGCCATTTCTCAAGTTGTGGTTCATTCGAAGTGGTCCGGCCACACATTCAGATTTGTTAAGGCCGAAATACTCGTGAGAAGTGATAATCGTGGGAGTCACGAGTTATTTGAGTCGTTTTTCACGGACCCCGCACTCTGTCAAGAAGTACAACGACCTGCCCAATCCATATTCGGAGCTGAGGCTCAATTTGACCAAAGAAAGTCGCCACTTGGGAATGCCCAGGCCAATGCGCCGTCTAACGCCAGTATCAGGGAGCCAAATGGTTGAGCAATCATCGCATCCAATCCCACCACGTGCGATAAAAGTCCAGCAGGTCATGATTTGCACGTCGGCCAGTAAGCAATTAGCGCACAAGCGGGTAATTATCATCGATGGAGGGGAGTCTTTAATTGTCATAATTGTCTGCTACTGTTTCCTACTCATACCTCTGATGATGAATCAGCGACGGATGTCGAAACGTCAGGCGAATAGACTTATTGTCCCAACGATCGATTCTTCTTCTTCTTCTTCTTGTCATAAGTGTGCAGTAGCATAGTGACAGTAGCCTATAAATACTGCAATTTTCTGTGCATGAATTACCCCTTTTATGCTATTCTTTCTGATGATGGATCCGCGACGGATTTCAAAACGTCAGTCGAATAAAAAGTCTTGCTTCAGCGATAACATGTACTTCTGCTGCTCAAACCTGGTGTGTTGTGTCACGTGAACAGGTCATTCGTGGTACGCGTAGACTGGCTGATTAGCTCTGTCGGTAAACGCACTCGGTCTCTCAGCATTGGTTGGTAGATTGGCTCGGATAATCGACTGGTGACTGAGACAGGGGCGAGAGCGAATAAGGGGTTAACTCGGGTCACTGCATCTCCACGATTATTCATCGCTCTCCTCAATATACTACCCCCTCGAATCCATCATGATGCGATGGCCCAGAAGGTTTCATCTGACAATTCAACTCTCAAAATCCTCTCATGCCAATTCGCAATTAGTCCCCAGCGTATGTTTTTTTGGGTGTGGCGCTTGACAGGTGATCTGCGAGTCAGGCCATCAGGGCACCATCTCAGTGTGACCTCTGGAAAGTTTTGGGTGTGGGCCCCATGCACACCCTTTTTTCAAGATATATGGTGTGTTTGTGTGTGTTGAGACACACGGGGTGGAATTGCATCACGCCTGCTCTAAGCCCTTTCAGAGGGGTGCGGCGAAACGTTAACGTTGCTCTGCTCTGCTCTGCACATACTAAGGTGTAGCTTGTCGGCAGCAGGAGAGCAGTCGCCATTCCGGCAGAACAATAAAACACAATTTCGCTCAAAACGTGTATGTGCAAGAACGCAGCGACACTCATCAAGCCTCTCAAGCCACAGGTTGATAAGCCCTCGTGAGGCATTAAACTCACGTGTGCCAAATACATGCCACTTGTGGGATGACACATATACTGTAGAGGCCTAACTCCTAATCAGAACGTTGATATTTGTTGCAATTAACGAATTACCGCAGCTGACTACCATTTACACGTCACTATGTCCGGTAGGTGCGTATTTTTTCACGCGGAAGTGCGACGGATAATTAATAAAACAAGTAGTTAGAATGTCCATTCTTAAAAGATGCACGTCAACTCAAGAAAGTAATTGCAAATGTTGGCATTGGTTTCGTAGATAATTATGCAGTTGAATCGTGCCTTTCCCACCGGCTTCATTTTTCTCAATTTGCCATGTTTGATTACGCCAGACTATATTCGAAGTAGGGAATACGATTCACTTGTCATAGTTCACCTTGTGCGTAATTGTACACATTAAAAATGTGGTCGGGTTAATTGTAAGTAACGTATGTAAATTGTCCCGGTTAGGGTATATTCATCTAAATAGGAGGGGCTTACATGCAATGCATTTAGGCAAAAAGGGCGAAGAAGGTCTCATAGCAGTGACAGTTGTTGCGACTCTTGATCGCAGGCCTACTGAATACCGTTTTTTGCCGCCTCAAGACCCCATGGCGTCAGTAAAACAGCCAGCCTCTAGGCCCCTGTTGTACTTTAAATCAAAGTCCGGTCCTGACTGAAATTTTATTAGTTCTTTTTATATTCGTGGTACTCTAAATCAACTACAAGAACATACCACTTGCGGCTAGATATATTTTAAAGAGGCAAGTATTATAGCAACAACAACTGGCGATCGCCATTTAAACAGTTATAATCTGCGAGAGAACAAATTGTATTCTCAGTGGACATAGTTGACTTTTAAACAAAAAAGAAATGAATTCGTTTTTCAAATAATGGTATTTTCTGTCTCGACGAGTTCGCCAGGGCTGTTCGTGTTTTAAAAACGAAACATTTGGTTATCCTCACTGTGTAAAATTTCAGTAGGATAAAAATAGGCAGGTCCGCTGTTAAATATTCTCCGAGAATTGCTATGTCGAACGACAAGTTACTTATTGCTGGTCTCATTTAAATAAGTTTTGCTTTCAGGTTCTTGTCGCAGGCAAGCCCTTTCACAACTTTGCAAATTCTCCTTCCAATCGTTTGTCTTCATTGATCGAGAAGAGATACCACAGAAGACTAGAATGGCCATTTGTGCTCCGGCCTTCTTCCAGCAGTCATACATCGAACTCTAGGCTGGGAGGCTCGTGGTTTGGACTAGGTTCCGCTAATCTGTTTACTTTGTCACGGATAGAAGCAAATATGCGTTTCCCAGGTTTTTGTTTTAAAGAAGGCAAGGGCGCGATCATTGGAACAGCTCTTGATTTAGGCTGAGCTTTCTGCT